GTAGCTGTACCTCATGAGTCAGTGCTATTCAACTATTTCGATTTTCACGCACCATTGAACAAGATGTTGCTGGACGTTGATCCTCATAGGCTATACAGTGGATCTGATTGCGAATTTAGTAACTTCTGGTGTGGTGTCAATTATAGACAATTTGGGGCCACATCTTCTTTCCACTGAATTCGTTATGTACACCAATATAGGGAACGTTCAGCGCTATTCTGTCGCCAAATTGCGTGGACGCCAAGAATAGGTGTTATATTTGTGATCAGGGCCACTGATTACCACTAAAAACGAATTTTCAGTCAAAACAGTTTTGACCTTCTTGGGTTTGCTTATTGGGTTGTCCGGGTCCGTAGCGTCAACGATACGTCATCGCTGTTACGAAGATGTGAGACTCCGCTCACACTGCCGACGGTCACCTACAACCCGAAAAAGTCAAAAAAATTTTTTCGCTCAAAACTTGCTCCTAGGGGTAATCGACAGTCCTGATCACGATTCTAGACTTTATTTTCGGTTCCAGTGCCATCTGGCACCGGCATAGCGCCGAAGAGCTGAGTCTGTGCATACTAACGAATTCGAACGAAAAAGCAGTTTTGCTCCATAAAAGTAGGATTGTTCAGTTTATCGTGAATGTTTTTGTTAGGACCAATTATTTAGACAAACATGGATCCAAAAAATGAAAAATTGTAGAAAAGCAAAATTTTGTCCTCGGTGGGATCCGAACCATCGACCTATTTTTTACGTTTTTTTATTCGTAGAAGCGCGCAGCGAAAATGAACCTCAGTTTTCTGGTCCTCGTATGTGCCCCTACAATATGCACAAGACCATTTTGAAAAAGCTCACCACGCCCTGAACGACCTCCCTTGTAAGCTTCCATGCTCGATACTTAAGTACTAAATATCACAAACGCGAGATTACTCGGTATGCCCTGCTACAGGTCTTATTCAAGAGAATTTCTATAATGAAGCTATGTAGTTCTCAGTAGGACATGGGCACCAGCGCACACCAATTTTTGACCGATTGAATCCGGGGAATTCCACTTGGTTGGGGGAAGGTATCCAGCGCCGAAAGGATGAAAAACTGGCGAGCACCGTAGAAAATGTAGCCTTTTTCTTTGAAATATGACTTAATTTTTTCCTACCTCTATGCCTAACATTCTACCTCCGTACGCCACTACCAGTCCCCTATGATAGTAGTTCTTGCTATAAGTCAATGGCGCAGTCCGCGATCAGGTATGCAAGCCGAAAATATGGCGTCTGGAGGGCTGTGCAATGCGGTACGCGATGAACAACCTTGTACCGGTTTCACAGCAACAAATTGATAGAGAGGGGCGACCTTCTCGCGAAAAACGAAGCTGCAGGGAGAAAAAGCATGAAATCGTCATTTGTATTGTGCTCGAGTTGGTGGGGAATTAGCTGTGCTGATAATGGCGTACGTTGGGGATAGAGCACATACAAACTGTTATCGTATTGGGATCTTTTTAGGGCAATTAGTATGTTTCTTTCCTGCCATGTTTGACCCTCAAAAACCTTGGCATTTTCGTGATGTGATATAAGTTCTTGGTTAACTCCACACAAGGTTGATAAGAATATTTATTTGCTGGCCGACGTTTCGGTGAGTTCACCTTCTTCAGAGCCTGAAAGGGTGGAAGTTGATTTATGAGTACTCGACCAAATATCTCACATCCCCACATAGACCTTCGAGCCTCCCCCCTTCATCACGTCAACAATAGGGAGAAAAATTATCGTACCTTCCTGAGTCACTGGATCAGCCACGGCTAGCACAGACGGGAGGTTTTCGGACAGATCGCATTCAGAACCCCGTTCAAAAGGCTAACCTTATATAGGGGGCTAGCTCCCGCGTTATTGACAAACATTCTCCCCTCCGGTTCATTTTTGGACCCATGGCCTGGATCCAAAATGCCTCGAGGGTTTTGCGGGCGGAAGTTTGCGTCTCTTGCTCCAGGATCTCGACCGTGACCCCGAACCCGAAGTCGACCCCGTTGTGGTTATTTACCCTGTGGCAACCTAGCGCTGTTTGAACCCGTGACCTTGCCTTGCCCTCAAGGTGTTCTTTTACCCGCACATAGAGCGGCCTCGCCGTCTCCCCTATGTACTCGTCTCCGCATGTTTCACAGGAGATCTTGACCACCCCTCGCATTGCGCAGTCTCCCTCCCTGCCGTTCGGGCAGACTACGCAATCTACTGTTTCACATGACGATCGTAGAGACGATTGCGAACAAGGCGGTGCTTAAGATTGGTGGAAGGAATGTCCACAAGTCCAACGGAATTTTCTAAACCTGACCTCCTCAGGCATTTCCTAATGGCAGTGCTAACCTCGTCGGAGATAAAGGGCACCATGAAGGGAATTTTCCCCTAATGGGATTCCGGCCCGATCCGTTGGCTGTAGCACCTGCCCTGGTCCTATGCACAGGTGACGGGAGGTTAACCGTTGAGCCGAGCAATGTCGCGTGCCATTTTCACAGACACCTTCCTCTTCCTCTGTTGAGCACACTTGCAGCAGTCCTAAACATGTTAACTACCGCCCGCCTACTCTGGACACGATGGGCTGATCGGAAGTGGACAATTGTGTTTTTGCTGCTCGGCTTTCTGTACCACCTCGTAAGATGAGTGCCCCCCCCCCTCACACTTGACCTGGACTTTGAGGAACGGAAGCCAGCTGTCGTGGGGTTTTTCGCGTGTTAATTTGATATTGTCCGACTGCTCGTTCATTATGGAAAAACATTTGTCCATTTCACCCTGAGTGGAGCAGACTATGAAGCAATCGTCGATATATCGACAATAAAGCAATGGGAGTCGTTCTAATACTGGCGCTTCTATCTTTGCCATGAAAGCAATGGCCAAAAAGTTGGCGCCAGCCGTTGTCCCATGGCTAAGCCTCTAGTCTGCGCGTAAAACGTCCCTGACCATCTGAAAATGTTGCAGTCCAAGCATACTTTGAGGAGCACCATTACTTGACTTATGGAGAGCCCACACATATCAATCGCGTCTCGGTGTTGGTTGGGAAGCTCGGAAACGGCTTCCATAGCGGAAGAATTGCTGACGTTAGTGCAGAGAGCTTCCACGTCAAAGGAATCCATCACACAACTGGTGCCTGGACGCACTGTACTCTGATGGCTAAGGAACACCTGAGTTCAGGGAGGTGCGACGGTATATAGGAGCAGCTGAGACAAAATGTTGTTGAGAAACCACGCGATCCTGTCTGTAGGTCCCCCCACGCAGCTGATAATAGGTGTCTTCCGTGGCCAGGAACTTGTGCGTCTTTTTTCTGCTTTTTTTCCCCTATAGAATCACTCAGAAGCTTGTCGTCGACACGCGAGCCCGCGAGCCCCTAATCCATTATCTGCGATGAAGAATGATCGCAGACTTTGCCTTTTGTCAATGTGAACAGAACAAAAGCTAAAACACCGCGCTCATACACTTACTGGGCGGTTTCGGGAAGATTTTAATCGTGTAAATTCCACATAAATAATTAAATAGAAGAATTGTAGAACCCACGTGAACGACTGACGGTCGAAGCACGATAATTCGACATCGATAACTCTCGTTTAGTGGCGGGAAGCCAATTTCTAGTTCTCCTATCCGAGAGTTTCCTTGCACTTCAATGATATCTGATCGTCGACACCACGGTATAAAGTGGCGATATTCTCTGACATCGGCAACAATGTCAAACATTTGCTCACGGGGGTAACTGGAAACATATCAATTTGTATGACCGAGAATTTGACGAGAAAGTGTTTATGCAATGGATCGCTCTCTCTCCGACACTCCGGTCACGCTATGTGAACAACTATCGTGGCGACCCTGACCAGCAGAACTGCGGGACCCAAATCCGAGCGAGTATTTGGACCGAAAAAACCCAGAAGTCACTTGTTGCAGTTGCCTTCTTGCATTTTTTGCCTGTGCCAATCCTAGGAGCCGCCATCGGCAATTTACCGTTAGATACAGCAAGCAGCCTTGAGCCGTTCTCTTTTTGGTTATTCGGTAAGAATCAAAAATTATGTAATAAACGAGAAACTTGAAAACTGATCACTTTGAGATGCTTTTTAAGAGGGAACTTATAACATGCCTCCAGGCCATTGCAGACCTTTGGCAGAGCATATTTCACTATTGTCGCGCTCAAAAATTCTATTACTGAAATTATCGTACTCTTAAACTTCTCAGCAACAAGAAGAAAGAATTATGTCAAACCCTATCAGGCGCTTTTCAGAGTAGGCCATTTCATGATTAGTGAACAGCCGTTTCGTCATCATCGTCCCATTTCCAGAGCACCGATTGAGTATCCGCAGAATCATTGCTAAGTGTTTTAGATATCTTAATCAAACTACACCATTCATGTAGCCAGACCCATGAATTTTCGCACATGTATACGGCGAACACCGAGTGCTCAACAGAAATTTGATAGAAAGAATGAGGGAGACATTTATTAACAATAACATTCACATGTATGCATTTCTTGAAAATGAACATTATAATCTGGTTTATGTGTTCATTGCAAGCTGTACTCCATCATCAGCAATGACCTGTCCATTAGAACCGCCTCTATCGTACCCGTTGTAAGCCACCTCATCGTATGCATCTCCATCCGTAACGCTGAACACATCCAGTAAAAAAAAATAAGGAATAAAAAAAATAATATCTCAATAAGAAGGGACTTCGTACATTAGGGGTGTCAATGGTGTGGAAACGGTATAAAGAATGGCAGAAAGAGAGGCTCCTGATTATGAAGATGAGATTTGCTGTTCTTCACCGCAATACTATCCCCGTGACCGCAACGCAACGGCAACGGCAATCTAATGTAGCGAGCAGTGGCGATCTCGAGGATAGGTCAAAGTTTTACCCTCCCAGACAAGAATGATACCAGTTTACTGTACCGGAGGGTGAAAGGCTCCTGAAAGATGGAGTTGGTCCGAGATTTGACCCCGGACCACGTGCATGATAAGCGTGCCACTTGCCACCACACCCATTCCGCATCCAGTGGCGATTATACGGTGAGAAATTGTGTTTCAGGTTGAAATTAGCATTGAAGAATTGTATACGCGACGACAGCAGAAACCAGACATCGCTAAGGGGAAAGACAGCACCACTGCAAATCATCAACTACAAGAAAGACGAAATGTCATCAGTACAAAGAATAGGACGAAATGTGAACTTAGGCAGGGGGTGGGGGAGGGGAGTAAGTGGGCCTTGTTGCTCAGTTTTGAAACGCGCTCTCAACTTTCCTCGGTGGAATCAAATCCCTTGATCTTATCATCCTAGAAAACAAAAAACAATGGGTACCTTTATTAGACCTTTGGTCATAGCATTCATCATGCCCCTGATCGTCAGTGGATCAATTTTATGCACTTCCAAGCCTCTTTAAAGGCAGTTGACACGATAAATCCCCAAGACGAGTAGGATAATGCCTGGCAGGACGGAATTCCGCGACCCTGAGCAGGCGCTGCATAATGCCTTTTCCAAGGAAGGTGCCCTTATAAGGGCCCTATCAAGCCACAACATACCGACCCAAACGCCCGCCACGCCCCGCCCACAAATGGACGACCGTTCCTGACGCTCTAATCGATTCATTTGCTAAGCAAATTATGAAGCGAAGGGATTGGTATGAAGCGGCCGTGATGCTGCATGGATATATGAGTACACATATGCAGCCGTACCTTCGGTAGCGGTTATTGGCAAGATGCCTACAGGAAACTCGTCCAAAATTGATTTCTAACACATTGAGAACGGAGGCTTTCTTCGCAGGATTTTGACCGTTTCACTCCGTTCTTTCGCCATTTCCCCACTATATAGCGCCCTACTAGCATTTTAGGCCGAGCACCGAATCATCGTGCCAACTGCCTTCAATGCCAACACGCTTTCGCTTGCTCTCCTCTTTAGCCACCCAACGACTGATCGACCAGCGGCACAATGTGAGTTCAATCCCGGTTCGGTGATGTGCAATGCAAAGAAAGTAGGGTCGGCTGTTCAACCCATCGTAATGGGATGATGCCACATGAAACGCCCGAGAAATTGGATAGAAAAATACTGAAAACTCCACTCACCCCTCATCAGCAAACTGCAGGAGTCGCATTGCCGCAGGGGCTAAGGGAGAAATGACCGGCAAACGCTGGTACATGCATTGCTCGTTATGAGACACGCTTAAGGCCTTATGTTTACTCGTCAAGTGGATAGTTTTGCCCTAAAAACCGAGAAGCTTAAGGTAAAGCTTCCATAGCAGCTTCAAAAGGAGCCCATTTATATTGGCAAATTCTGTTCCGCACACCTTCGCTGTGTCCATGCGAACGCCACAAACAAAACAGAGATTGTCATAGGCAGATTTGAGTGCCAAATCGTGATGAGAGTAAGACATATGCCATGCAAGAACCTGAAAAAAAACCTTTATCCATCAGTTAACTACCTGAAACTGCTTCCAGTGTAACTACCTGTACAGAGCTAAATACACGACCGCACATGGGAACACAGCAAGTTATCCGTTCAATATCACATTCACCAATGAGACGGCGTAATCTTTGTTTTATCATGGGTAGAGATGTAGACTCAGTCTCACAATCCGGTTGCAGAGTACGTTCTTTCTGAAGAAGCCTTCATAAGAAGTCACAGTAATTTCAAGTACCTACTATGAATAAATTCTCGAAGTTGGCCGATGAGTGATATAAATTGGTGCTCACTTGCCGAAAACTGCACCACGGAGCATTTCGTAGTTGGGGAATCCCCAGCGATGGTGGGAGGGTCGTACTTGGTCATAGAAAATTTTTCTAACAGTTGATTTTTCTCGTTCAACGGGCGCCTATGCACATCGTCGGGAGGATTTCAATGGGAGGATGGTCGTGTTTGCTCGTTGCTGGAAAGAAGGGGTTCGAACTTGCCCTTGAGAGAAACTGCAGCGTCGGGCTTGGAGAATTTCTTCCAGCGGCTGCTCGCGGTCCCTTCCCATTTTAACGCCATCCCCTCTCCCTCCCCCGCTCACTCGAGCAAAACTTCCGGGAAATCTCAAAAACAGTTTTCGGGGAATTTCAAAAAGCGTGGTGGGAAGCTGAGAAAATCTAAGTCAAATAAAGTCATAAGTGTAGGTAGCAGGGAAGGCAGAGAGGGACGTCGAATTTTCTCGAAAATTTGGGACGTGCCCTGCAAAACCACAGTAATTGGTTACCATTTTGCGAATCTTCTCAGCATATCTCCTAGCCACTTCTGAAACGTAAGCATGTGGCACTTGCTCCCTGTGATATGCCATCGATGTTTGCCGATTTGCGTCTACGACGACAGGTATCTTAAGTGAAGAAGGAATAACCGAACGTGAAGAACGGTAAAAAAGACCTTAAGGAATGCGACATACTTGCATCCCAGTCGGAACTCCATTAATGCTTCCAGCTACTTCTTCACCGTCTGTCACTCTGCTGTAAGGCCCTTCAACATGGATCATTAGTAACACATGACAGCAAGGAAAATAGGAACATACCTAGCCTTCTTTTGCGTATATTAGCACTCCTTGAAGTAGAGGGAGAGAAAATGCTATGGCATTCCATAAAGCTAAACGGAGGAATGAATGAATAGCGCAGCGGACCTTTCTTAACTTATCTCCTTCTATAGCGTCACGAAGCAAGGTGAAATCCAACACTATCATGAACATGCAAAGAAAATATTTATCTATAAAACATCTTATCATAAAATCATCAAGCAGGTCGGAGACATGTGCTCGTTTTTAGGTGTTTCGAGCAAGCTTTTACGGTGGGACGTTTCTATTTGGCCCGACGTTTCGGCAAGGTTGCCTTTCTCAAAGCCTGGGAACACACTATCCACTTTTATTTTCAGCTTGCCCCGCTTAACGAGATTATCCTTTGGCATTTCTGCATTGTTCTGCCTTGCACGCATCAACGAAGGTGCAGCGCGTAAAAGCTTAAGCAGGAAAGTTCACCTGTTAGGGAGGTGTTGTTCATTACTAATCCAGTCAGAACCAAACACCATCGGCTTATCTCTGCTGAAAACCCTGTTATGAAATTTTAGACTGTTTTGTTTGATAACTGCTGTTTACGCCGCAGTGCGCGATACGAAAGTTATCACAAGAATGCTGAGTTGTGGGCAAAAGTCGGACCACGGGCGGGAAACCACAACTGCCCGGTAAGCAGAAGATGCGGGTTCGAGTCCCGCCCGTGGTCCGACTTTTGCCCACAACTCAGGATTCTTGTGATAACCTGTTATGAAACTACTGTGAAACCTTGAAGAAGGCGATCTTCGAACTCTGGGCCAAAGAACTTTCCACAATAAAAGCATGTTTGACACATGAAAGGAAGATATGTTGGGAAAAATAAAGATGGCAAGGTTCCAGGAAAGCCGGTAACGGGAATACTACACAAGTGCCGCCGGAGACATAAATTCTTGCGACTACTGACGCACTGAATTGTTTTTCCCCCCGAGTACTTATGTTCCAGTCCTGTGACGCAATAGTGGCATAAGTACACCAGTCCTGTGACGCAATAGTGGCATAAGTACAGAGGTTTACTTACCAGTGAACCTGAGAGGAAAGAGTCCAGCGTATATCAGCGTCTAGTAAGCGGAGGGTGATGAAGACTTGTTTTATTTCAGTGTTTTCAGCAAGAAAGAACCAAAGATGTTCGGTTTTGCCTGGATGGATGATGAACAACATCTCCAGGTAACCACGTATATAGGGAGAACCGCATTTTACGAGAAAGCGCGATTCGCAGAGTCACTTAATCCCTGTCTAATTTCTTGCTTCTCTTCTTTTGTTGAGGATTCTCCAGCGACTATGAGGCCTGTTCCCGAACTGCGGACTCACGAAGTATGATCGTGTTCTCGTGTGAAGGAAGCAAGACTCCACAATTCATACGCGGAATCATAAGCAGCATAATCACCTAATGCAGCATGAGAGAGATATAAGTAGCATGATTATGACTTGACTGGAACATATCAGTGTAAGAGGTTGAAACCTTGATAGACACACCAAGGCTCACAATAATTAAAACATTTTATTCAATATTCAGCCAACTTGTGGCAATACAAAGCAGTTCATACACATAAAAAACAGACGACGTCATGACAACAACATATGACATAAGAAAATGAGAATGCACTGGAAAACCCGATGAAGCATATAGAGAAGAGGACGTGGAAGAACACCATCTCCACGCGACAGAAAATCCGAACTGCGTTTATACTTTGCGGAAGCGTTCACCAGCGTCGACCACCGTACGGCATCGTTTTCGCGGGCAGTATAGCTCAAGTTCAAATGTGTCTGCGGAAACGTTGGTGTGCTCTGGTGGACGCTGGCCTCAGCAGATCGATACCTATACCTCCTTAGTCCCTCCAGACGCTACGTGCGCTACTTTACGGTGTTGCATGCTAGCGTTCGCTCAAAACGCTGTCACACGCGGAGGACGCTGCCGCTAAGTATGAACGTAGCCTTATTGAAGCCATTGGAGGTTTCAATACGCCTTATAATGACAATCGTGTCCGAAATAACAAGGTAACAACATATCGAACGTAGAAATCGTTTCTATGTGGTGGCTTTCATGAATGAAGCTCGCTTATCATGAGGACAATTTGGCATAAACCCCCAGTTTTCTACTGAATCTACACGAATAGAAAAAAATGTGCACCAAGGAAACCTGATTAGACATCCGTGTCAGAAGTTATTGAATATCTTCATTAAAATGTTTGTCAATAATGTTGATAAGTTCTCGGTGAAGGTCCAACTCTGTTGCCTCAGCTAGCATGATATTTTGCTGCGAAGCGAAGGTAGACCCTGGAAGTTTTTGTGATTACTAGTCTACAGGAAGAGCTGTATGTTAGTCATGACCGAGTGAATTATACAAAATAAAAAAAATCGAGCAAAGTAACAACTGGTGTTGTATCGTCACTTACAAAAGTGGATCAAATATTATTACTTGTTGTGTAATTCAATTTCACAAAACAAATAGCTTTGAGAAACAACCCTGACTGGCATGGCTATCAATTGTCAACAATTAAAAGAGAAAGGAAGCACGAGAAAATCAAAACCTTGGTGAGCCGAGCCGACGCACACATTTGACAGATACAGCATTTGTTCGGAAAGTTCCTTTTCAACTTGAGTCAAAGTCTTCTTGAAGGCTTGAGATGACTCTTCCATTTTTGTCTGTGAAAAGAATATTGAACAAAATAGGAAAGAACGAACATAATATAGTAATTTCATTCCAGCTGTAAAACACCGTCATCTCCCTCAGCCTTAAGCTCAATAAATACCTTTCCCTTCAGGCAAATGAATTACCCATAGCGCAGCATGCTGAAAGGGAGGCAGATGGAGAGAGGTCTGGACGATGAAACTGCCCACTTAACAAATTGAAACCAATAAACAAAAAAGTGTAAGAAATGTCTGGCTCTTCTACAAGATGGAAGAAGCCAATCGAGTGCGTAAACCAAAGAAAGTGAAAAGCTCCAGGACATCACAGAAGCAAGAGCGGTAATCGGCGTTGAAGAGGCATTGCGTGCGCATCATTCGTCCCGGCACTCAAGGCAGCCATCATACCTAGTGATGACGCGCTACCCTTGCAGTAGTGCTCTGATGCTGTAGACGGGAAAGCAGGTATCGACGCAAGTCTGTCGCTAGTGCATCAAGAGGTTATAGATTAGGAGGGTGCGCGTCGACGCGCGTCATCGCCAAGTCTGAACGCTGCCTCGGGATGCGTTCATACTTTGCGACTCGGCGTCAGTGGAGAGTCAGCGCTTCGAGGGAGTCGGCGTTTCAAACAAAAATAAGATAGTATGGGTACTGAACGGCGCTCAGAACGCTAATTCGCCCAAAACGCTGACTCGTAAACGACGAATGCAGCTAAAGCCCAAAAGAGGAATGTTGAAATAGTGCGTAAGTATTTCGCCCACAAAAACGAGAGGAAGTTTTGTGCGATTACCTCCTGGATGTAGCGCAGTTTTATGTTGCGAACACATGGCGAAAATGATTCTGTGAAGGGCGCATTCGGTAAGCGAGACGCAGAGCTGGCAGCTCACGGAGTTACTTTTCTCGTTGCCACAACTTGGAACTCCTACTTTATGCTCTCCTTTTTTTCAAACGCGGGAAACCAACAACGTCAGTACAGCTTTCCCGACTGAGTGTCCACTAACAATCGTGGTGGGCTTTCCCGACTAAGCCCATCGCGATGGTGGTTTCGCCAGGCTGTGGGTTTAACACGGGGTCTATCTAATAAATATATTCAAGAATACATGCTGAAGGGGATTGAGGTTTTGTTTCAGCTCCAGATTTTGTTTCAGTTTCAAGTAAACCGTAAAGAGAATGTTCCAGTAAATAAGGATCAACATAATTTGCCGAAGTAAAAAACGATCAGTGTCATTCTCATAAAACCGCTTGACAGCACATGACAGCGCATATCACGGCCTCTCTTTAAAAACCACAACTTGAAAGTTCACTCTGGGAGTCTGATTTCGACTCTTTTAGGAGTCGTATTCTCCGTATACCCAGATATCCGACAGCATTAGTAAAAACAAGGACGAGGTTTCAAACCTTGCTGATCTGCTTTTCTTTGGATAATTCCGAAATACATGTTTGGGCATGTCGTAGGAGATTTCCAATCGATTTCTCAACTTCCGAAACGGCATTCAGCCGCTGAACCAAATCGGAACCAGCTCCTCTTCCACTTGCCATCCCTAGTCATAAACGGATATAGTTTTCATAAAATGAGTTTTTTGTCGCAGAGATTCAGAAAGGGAAACAACCATTTTTATGACAATGACGCATTTCGTGGAGAATTCGACAGGTTCATTCATATGAGTATGATAACAGCTTACAAGTACAATCAATGTCAAAAGTTAATTATTTGATAAGGGTGAAAGTCTTACAAGCGTTATGACAAGCCTACAAGTGAACTAATGAATTGAAAAAGCTGATCACAGCAATAATTCCTCTTCAACTAAAGGCACTAATTACATTTTCTAAAAGCACGACTAGAAAGCTTTTAAATAAATTCATCGCAGTCTGCAAATGGTGTAAATAACAATCTGATACATGTGTGAATAAAGATACAAATTCACTATTCAAATGCACAGTAAATATAAGCAAGTACTGATTAAAGTGCAATAGACAGTAATACCTTATAGTCTGTATAATTGAGGATGAAGATGATAAGTATTCACCAAGCAATATACGAGCAATCGAACAAAGCTGTTGGGTGAAGGCACAAAATAAAATTCCCGAAACCAGAAGTGATCAATAAGCACGTGCTTGTGAAGGAATCGGCGGAGGCGGAAGGCTTGACAGTGGTGTAAAAACGAACCTGAAAAAAAAGAACTTTCAATGAAACTGATGGATGGGTAAGACTGCGTTCATACGCGTCAACGTTTTCAGCGACAGCCCGCCGGAAGCTCAAAACTGCCCTGAAGGCCTGACACATTCCGGAGTGCAGGTAAAAACTGCTCCTTCAGCCACGTAAACACTCATTTCGACCACGTACTCCCGGGGAACAAGCGCCTGGCCTTTTTTCTTGTGATTTTTCTTCCTCATACCGAAGTTCCTATTCAAATAATAATTCAAACAATGCGCAGGTAATAACACTTTACTTGTGAATTATATGCATTATTATTTGCATATAATTTCTGGTAAAAATTCTCATTTCAATCAACCTCGAAAGTACAAAAACTTCGTCTGCCAAAGGTTGCACGAAAACTTGTCTAAAGGGAAAAGCAAAAAAAAATCCAAAAAAGAAGTGAAACAATGGATGATAAATAACAAACGGAAGGCTTTGGCGTTTGTCGACCACAGCGAACGCGCCGAAGCGGAAGTTTCTGAAAAAGTGACGTCGCCACCAACGTGTTAAAACGCCAGCGTACGCCCAAAACGCAGAATCGATTTCAATGCTTTCCTAGTCGCTCGAAACGCTGGCGCAAAGTATGAACGTAACCCAAGAATGTCGCGTGTGTCAGTAAGCATGCGCTTTACAGCAGCCGTTTGTATTAGGTTGGCAAGCATTTCGTAAACAAAATTGACTTTCAGTAATTTTCCAAACCCTCGAACATCCCCTATAAATTTACCAAAGTGACCAATGACTTTCTCTACCTGCTGGAAACATCACTACTGCCTTTTCTTAGAAACCAGCAAGCTGTGTATGACATAAAGAAGCATTTCCTTTTTGAAGAAATAATCCCTGATTTCGCTTCCTCGCAAGCGATGGTTTATCGACCGGCGAAAGTTGTAGTTGGAGGCAAAACTTTTGAGGAACATCACTGATAAACAACCGAACTCAGCTGAGTCTTGTGATTTTTCGAGGTGTGTTTGGAGGTGTCCATAGCGGTACGTGGTTCTCAAGGGTAGCACGCATCTTTAATGTTCCTGGGCGTCTTTTGTCTATGAACCTAGCAATTGCAGCAAACAGCATCGTAGGAAAACTGGTTCTTCACAAAACTTTCAGCGATTTTCACTAATCCCCTCTTGACATTCTTTTCAGTGTTGGGGCGTTTTCCAACTCGCTTTCAATCCATTTGAGTCCAACTGGGGAAAACAATTACAATGGTTAAGTTCTGAAGGAGAAGAATATTTGACTGATAATGGGTGTCATTAATCTCAAAATCGTCAACTGATAGTCTCCACTGATCTAGCCTAAAAGAACTCAGAATGATTCGGCTACCGACCAAGAAGTTCTCGCTTGTTTAACAATGAATATCATACTACAGTGTATTCTGTATTCTTGCCAATCAAGCTCCGATGATACTGTCGCAACGAAACTTCTGTACGGACCTCACAGTTTACAAACATCGCCTCTTCATAACTGCAAGCTGCGATAACTGCTTTTGTAGAATTTCGAAAAAAAAACAATACTACAATCGACGATCAATGTTACATCAGATACCATATACTAACTTCTTCACCGCTAACTTCCCTCTGATTTTATGTAGCAAGGAGGCATCTGTGTGGCCATACCGATTTACGGACAACGCCTCGTCACCATCCAATCGCCAAATGCGACTGCATAAATTCTTCCTACTGGAGAAGGTCACGCAAAAAAGCTTTTTCGCTTCGAGTGAAGAAGCGAATTCCAGGAATGTTGACAAGCAGCTGTTTTTGATCATCGAAAAAATAAAAACCCTGACGGTGAGCGCTAGCCTTAGCGTGCCTACAGAAACAGCATCGTCTATGCTCCAGAAGGTGATCATTGCAGAATCCGATTTGTCTCCACCAAGTTTTGACTTTCCCAATTTTTGCCCACAAATCTTTCTGTCAACCAAGTGTTCAAAAAAGAATTCTGGAAAATAAAGAAACAAGCAGACTCTGGTCTTTGAAGTCTGATGACTACTTTACGACAGCAAACCAAATCATAAAAAAAATGCAAATCATAAAGCAGTTTTAGAGAGCCATTTTAAACGATGAATACAGGGTAATAGGGAAAACGTTGTGACCACTTCACCAACATCTACCAGGAAATTCGGACATAATGTATGTCAATGTCACCTACCGGTCAAGAGGATGAGCGTCCCTGTTTGAGAATTTGGTCGCCACTATAGGAGGAGTACCGCCCGCCTTCGAAGCACTTCTAGGAGGAGGAGGTGGAGCATTCTCCTCTGATCGGACACCCATAACAGGAGCGCTGCCAAACCTTGAAACATAAAACATATATAGGTCTGATCACATCTGCAGGTGCAAGCACAAACTGAGTTGAGGGTGAAATAAGCTTCAAAGACGCACCTGTTAGGCATGGTTGTGGCAATTGGTGGAACAGAAGGAGGTGGAGGTGGGTCCGGGTGGCTACCATTAGTTCGCACAATAGGTGGAGGAGGTGGAGGAGCTGATGGCCTGCCTGGAGGTGCAACAGTTGGACGAGCCAGAGGTGCTCGAACCGGGGTGCTCTCGCGAGAAGAGATATCCTGAAAGAAATAGTTCCAGGAGATCGAAGCTAAAAAGTGATTCTGATCATTGTTTTACAACTAAATCTTCTGGTTCCTAAAGACAACGACCGAAAAAAAACAAGCAACCATAGTCATAAACTACACAGAAGCCTATCACTTTTGGACATATTACAGCTGGAACGTAACTGTACCAACATATAACCGTTGATACTGTTACAGGCGTTAATTAGGTTGTTGAAAGGGTTCTCTCGACTCACTCTTCTATTAGGTTGATGCATATGTTTTCCCCTCGTTTTGATCCTTCCGTATTTCGTTTACATGGATGTTGGTATTGATACTCTTTCATAACACTAGCTATCATTCACCCCTGCATTTGCAGGCCACAATGCCGCACGTGCAATGTGAAATGGTGATTGTGGGGCATTGTGGCCTTCTTCAAGTCCCAGCCCCCGTCCTTCTGGGAGGATGGAATCGACAAGCTGCCTGAGCGTTGGCGTCGAGTAGTGGATGGTGATGGTGCATACCTCTAATCTTCAGGCTGGTTCGCTATTGAGATATTTACAAAAAAGTCGGGTAAAAAACATATGCATCAACCTAATACATTCTGCTGTACCCCTAGTAGTTGTTAAGGAAATTTTCATACAGAACTTATGTGAAAGTTGGCGCGTAGATCACTCTTCTCCTCACCGTGGGTAGACCTGTCAGGAGCTTCAAGAATGGCGAGACAAAGATGGTTCCTCTGGGGATAACGCCATCAGTGTTTTAGAGTTTTTCTTCTTCCAGTATTCTGATCTATTTGTTCCTGATTGCTTTTGTTGGAAAGGTCCACCAACAGACTTATGGTCAGAGCTCATTTGAAGCCGTCTTAGAAAAGTATCTCGCATACTAATTCTGTTCGCCGTTGTTTGATTGTTCTTGTGCTTGTCTGTTCTCTACTTCATGTTTAAATCTATGGTTCTTAATCACACAGGCGTTTGCCGGTGTAACAAACATAAACACAAACTGGCAATGTGCTTAAACAACGATGATTCTCCATTCTCTGAGTGGCGATAGTAGGAAAAAAATTACCTCAGAACTGCCACTCCTTCGCAATCCAGAGTTGTTCCAACTCGTTTCTGGCTTCATTGGCCGCATCGTCTTGAACTGGTCGCGACCACCAGATGAAGCGCTGATCTGAAACCAGATGTTTCGATTGCATTATGGACTTTCGTGGTGGAACTGGCCAAATTACAATCGAAGAAAACTTACAACTGGTTTAACGGTTTGAATAGGTGGAGGTGGTGGAGAGGGTTTACTGGAAATGAGCAGATCTGATGGCTTCGCAGCTAGAGGTGGGGGTGCAGATCCGGCAACGCCAGCTAGGAAGGGCCTTCCTAAAAAGTAATCGAAGTAAGGTCCTATCAAATATCTCCAACTAGATAAAATTCGAGCCCTGAATTTGAACCAACTCACACACCGTAATCTTTACATGTTACCACACTGGAAGCAAATAAGAATTAAAACAGAGCATTATCCTCCCCCCCCCACCATCGCCAAACTGCCACGCGACCAATAGCTGCTCGCCAATTTTAGGCCAGCAATTATTGGTCTCAGCTGCTGGCGGACTCATTCCACATCTAACACGCCCCATCACTTCGCCGTGCTGTGCACTGTATATAAAGAAAACCAATACCGTCGATTAGTGTTGCAAACCGACAATGGAAAACAACTGGATAATTAGAAAAAGTTTGTAGAAATACTCTTCTAAGCCTCCCATCTTTGTACTTTAGTACCTCTCATACAGCTAGCAAACAGGAAATAAGACCTAGAAAAAAGCGATCATACCTGGCAAGGGAGGAGGCTGTGGTGGAGATGTTGTTGCGGGTGTGACTGATGTATTCGCTCGCCGGATTTTGTTTTCACTGGGTTTCGAAGGGAGCCCATTTGCAAAAAGACCACCCATTGGACTTCCACTGCCGCCACCGTACGTACGACCACCAGAACCTGCAGAACTTATATTGAACATGATTTTAAGCTACTATTATTGCTGCAAAACCAACCCGGTTTGGGCTCTCTCTCAAGTTGATTAGTTATCAAAGATGAGCTCGATGAAGTAGAACTAGGCTTTACTCCCGGTGAAGACGAACTAGGCTTCCCTCCAATTATAGGTGCAGATCGATCGTTAGTTGCAACTTTTCTGAGTTTGGTTCCTTTCTGAAATGTTACTGTAGAACCAACATGATAATGGTCAAAGGAAGATTACCAAATTTGGTAAACAACAATAAGTTTCTTGCTTCTTGCAAGGAGACCACACTGAATAAATTATGAGGAGTCGCTAAACGTCGGACATCTCGGATACGCCATCAGTCTCAACGGACTCAAATTTTGCTGCAGCGGAAGCTTCAAAAAGGCCAAACTCCACCATAACGCTTGGCCCTTTAGAGAACGACGTATATTCGTTAAAGCAATCTTGTAAAGCTGCTTTAGTTTGATTACTGCTTTGAACGCGGCAGTGTGCGCCCCGAAAGTTATCACAACAGCGCTGCTGACTTATGGGCAAAGGTTGGACCTCGGACGGGACTCGCCCTTGCATCTCCCACTTACCGCGGTGCTTATCCATTAGAGCGCGTTCAGACTTCGCGATCGCGCGATCACGAAGCCTGAACGCGCTTCTACGCTGCCGGGACTAAAAGCCATTGAACTGAAAACGGTAAGAGCGGCCCCGGAAGCATAATGGACAAACCGTCGGTTAGACAAAAGCTAATTTCAGTATTACCATCACGATACCGTAACCCAAAGCGGCGCCCAATTGATTGTAACTCCGCAATGGACGGACGTACGTACAACACTAGACTTTACGCCAGCACCACCGCGAGAATTGTGCGGAAACCCTTGCACGTACTGCACTTTTAAGGATGGGTGGGAATTTCATGCACATTTCACTTAGGCTTTCTTTCATCTACGGATGTTTATGCTTGGCATAGTGCAGCTTTGCCGAACACAAAGAACCTGTAGGTCGAGACGTATCATGTTGTACATTGATTACAACGCTTTTTCCTCGCTATTTGCAATTGGTGAATAATTGCATGAATATTAAAAACCACAATTTGCTCCAGACCACAATATTCTTTTACAAGTGCTTTCCCAACTTATTGCATGAAATTTTACTGCATGCCTAGTGATTGGAAAAGCGAAAAACGTCACTATCACTAGACATAAAAAGTAGTGATCTGATTACTGACATGGTGACTCACTATCAGTTCGCTACAAACTGGTAGTTAGATTGGAGAGGTAATTCAGGGTCTCGAGTACAAACACGACTTGGTCCTTGGTGCTGACAAGAAACTTCAGGGTCAGGACCGTGACTGGCAGTACCAAATACTCTTGTAGACGTTTTTGGTGGCAACTTTTTAACAGAATTTCCTCATATCTTGGCGGAACTGTGCCCAAGCAGTGCCCGTCTCAACTTTGGCTCTCTAGTTTCCACAGTAAATGTTTGTTCTACTTCAGTGGATGATTTCACTAATGTAGCTAGGTTTTGTGAAAAAAATTATTCCCAGGTTGAAAAGTCGTAGTTGTGAACGTGACCAACTACATGCGAGTACCACCTGTTCCACCTTTCGAGGCGATGAGGCTAATAGTGGACGCAATACCACCTCAGTTTGATGTTTACTTAAGCGAGCTTTGAAGCCGTTTCTATCCCCACACTGGTTAGCATCAAGCGTGCAGCACCACCAAAGTACTTGAAGCAGGTGTAACAGAAAGATAGATCAGGCCTATCCTTACATCGAAGTCCTCACAGCGACATCCGAAACACACCAGTCTTCTTCCACCCAGACAAAGGAAATTATCGGCGTAGTTTCAATGCCCGTGCTGATGTCTTCAACGCACTTATGACAGACGGACAGTTTAAAGGGCGCATCGTGGGTTACGGTACCGTGGCGGTTATACTGAAGTTAGCTTCTTCTGTCGGCTAGTGGCAGAGGCGAAGTCCGACATCTGACTTTTGCCCATAATTCATCATTCTTGTGAACCAATTCACGTTTTAATAGTTTGAAAGGATCGTATCATGGAAGTGGAATGAACCAAAGCTTATTCCAGACTATGAAAATGATTATAAAAATCTCAACAGCACACACTTTTGGCGGGAACAACTGGAATGTGCGAGATCACCCAAAAAGTCACTCTGGAAAACCTGCCCTGAAACGAATGCACACAGCGTTCACAGTGTTACATAAACGCTTATTCGGAAAAAAAAACTAGAAACTGATTTAGGTTCTATGAATATGGAGCATTCCGCAAAGCGCATCGCACTTTGCAGAATGCTCCGGATTCACAGGACCTGGATCTCAATTTCCCACTGTAGTCGACACCTAAAAGAAAGTGGTACCCTCTAAACAGACTGGTGATGGTGGACGAAAAACAGCGTACGAAATACCAACTCATGGATTCTATTTTGCTCCAGAGAGAGGCTGCATTTTTTGTAGACCCCTATCAATATGACCGACAAAAGAACGAACGCTATTTGCAGCACGCAGCACATGGTCACTTAAATACGGCAATAAATGGACGATATTTGGCATTAACTAGTACTAAGAGATGCTACACTTAGTGTTGGTTATCTGACTCCGCGTTCATACCTTGCTTCTGAGTTTTGAGAGCACGGCAGTGCATACAGCAGAGTTTTGAGCGTTTCGAGCGACTAGGAAAGCATCCCAACGGAAGTTCAAAACTGCCCGGTGGTGCACGGTCGAAGCGCTGGATCAATATCTACACTTTCCTTGTTGCTCAACAAGCTGGTATACGCTCAAAAACGCTGTTAAACACTCGTTAGGTCAAAACGTTAAACCCATATGCATACTTGTCTAGTGGCTTGAAAGGCTCACAAGCATACGCTCGAAACAATCAAAATGCTGCCGTACGGAAAACCCTGATGCAAAGTTGAGTAGATATGAATCGTGGGAAAAGGAATGATTTTTAAACGAACCTGTATGTCAGCCAACAATGCTACTGGTTTCTTCACAGCTGGAGCTGAAGATGCGCTAGAGCTCAACAAAGCAGCTGGAGGAGGCGGCGGTGGAGGAGGTGGTGGTGGAGGCATCGCCACTAAAAATTATTCAACTCGAGTCACTAAGAAAAAACTAGGATTACAGAGGACAGAGCTGTTCTCGAAGAAAGCGGTGCAAACACGAGACGCTTTCTCAAAAACTGCACTAACTATAATTACACCCTATTACTTTGGGAAAAGAGGGTCTCAAAGAAAATAAAAGAGGCATTACAGATTTGGCTACGATCCAAAAAAAAAACAGAAATCCGGCCATGACAAAAATGCTGAGGGAAAAGATTTGACGACCTCACAAATGTGGTGGTTTTCTGTTATAATACGACGTCGGACATTAAGGTACAAGTATGTCGAACCGGGAAACATTACAGGGTAAATTAATCTACGCATTCCCGTCAAACAGTCAGGTCTACGACCAAACATCACCCCTTGTTATGACGAAGAAAGAAAACTAGGAGACCCGCCGAAGTTCTCATAAATAGACGCGAAGCTGCGACCTGATGCATTCGTTGTGAAAAAAATAGTCATAATACCTAATAATAAGAAAAGTGTATCAGATAGCAAACAGAATATATGGGAAAGAGACTGTGCGCACCGCAACAGCGCTATGATTCATGCAACATTCAAGATGATTGCTTGCGATGATTTGGAGCAACTCGTACGAAATCGGGGAAGGAACAGGAAGGCGTCCCCTCCGTCTCTGCGGTGTCCGTTGGAGGCAGACGGATTGGTCAGCTGCCTCATAGCCGGTGCACTGGATTTCCTTGAGAAGTTCGGATTCGCACTCAAATTCGAGAATTTAAGGAACGTCTGCTTCTCTTCCTCTCATTGTCGCTGCGGAGTTGCCGTACTGACGCAAGCGTTGAACCTTGAGGATAGCGTTGGCGGAAAATCAGACCCAACCGGTCATTACTGCCTTTTAGCTTTACACTTGTACAGTTGCCAACTCGTTCTTACATTAGTAACATTTCAAGCACTTCGAGCAAAAGGAATGACAGTCTCGGTACTGTACAGGAAATGGCATTAAGGGGAGACGGGCTAGAGAAACGTAAATTGTCGCTTCGTCCGCGCCCACGCTTCGCCTCCGTCTTCGTCGTGCTTCGTTCAGCGGCTATCGGGAATACTGTGTAATGGTACGGTGCGGTTGCACACGCCCCAATTTCACCACCCTAATCCAGCTGTCTCCTCCCTCCTGCTTCTCCATACTCTAACAGCAGTCTCCTACCCTCCTACTTCGCCATCGCTAGATCGATAACCATGTTTTCGTAGAACCTCGAGACACTTATGGTCGCTGGCGGACGGTGGTGGACACTGACAGACGCTGCCATTCGCTAGATTGATATCCATACTTTCCTGGTCGCTGACACTAACAGATGCTTTGAAACGCTTGATGGTCGCTAGTGGACGCTGCCGCAAAGTATGAACGCACACTTTCGAACTTGCTGCAGAAAGATCTGATGCTAGAAAACTGCAAAAAAATTATCACGAAGTTAACATCCGTGTAAAAAGGTAGCATATGTGAATTCAGCAGCGGAGACGAAGAGAACAGTCGTTGCGGACACTGGAGCATTTCAGGGGCTGGTTCAGCGTGGCCCAAGCCTGTTCTCCACCAACCGCGGTCGCCTGCCAGCTTCCACGATTGATGAAGAATAGAGTCTTTCCGCCAGTATCAGTGAGGCTGAACATGCCATGAGAGCTGGTAATAAACGCTGAAGTCAGCGAGACCACCAGCTGTGAGTCAAGCTCATAACAATATAACGGTCAATTTGATGGCCAGACTTCTTCGTTTCTCATTTTGAGGGAATATGATGAAGAGCATTGAGTCTGTTGAGAGTAAAGAACCCTGCTGGCCAGCTTAACCAAGTTTCGGGTCTAACAGAGACGTCTCAGCTAATGAGAAGATAGATTTAAGTACCCGAGAGCTCAAAGTGACCAGAATAAACTTTTGATGGGACTTCGCGAGGCGCTCGAGCGCGCAACGGATGTTGGCATCGTCTGGAGTCAATTAAGCCATTGCGAGCGTTTTTTTTACCCGAATGTCGTCACAGATTGTCCGCAGATTTCGACAACATCACTGGAGAACTTCCACCGCTCCTTTCATTCATGAAAAATCATCCTCAACGAAGGCTTTTGAACACTCTCTCCGGAAAAAGGCACGGCTGAACAGGTATTTACTCTGTGAGTGTTTCCGGGAAGATAATTTTTTTTCAAGCTCTGAAGGTTCCTATTTGCTTGGCTTCACATCTTTATGGACAATATTTCAATTTGTTGGTGCAACTTGGTACGATAGCTAATCGGATCGCAGCAGTTCTAATTTTACCTGAGAATTATTAAAGCTCCGAAGTGTTAAGTAGATGGGCCCCGTGCGACCATCCGATGGGGTCCTAGCCGAACCCCATCGGATGGTCGCACCTGGTGGCTGGGGAGTAAGTCATGTTCGGTCGGTAGACGTATCTAGTCTTGATAGGAATCCTTCCGAGCGCAGTTTGAATTTCCTGCCAAATGTTGGCTTTTACAGTTTTCTTATTTCATGTGAGCTATGTGTATAGACCCCTTTTTCTTCAGGGCATTTCCTGCCGCCGTGAAATATTCTCGGAACGACCCCCC